CACACACACACACACGTCATAATAATTATATGTGATAAATTACATTTGAAAATTTTCTCTCTCATTTTAATCCTAAAATTTAAGTGAATGATCTAAATCAACTGTTATTTCAACTTTAGCAGACTTATAAAAAAATTTTATTAGAACAATTATATATATATATATATGCAAAAAATAATAAAATTTAATATGGAAAAAAAATCTTTTTTTTTGCACATTTTTTATGAAAATTTATATAAATATTCAACGATTAATTTCTGAAAATATAATAACCAATAAAAACTGAAATATTATTTAATCTTCTTGTTTAGCAAATGACTGCGATTGTTTCAAACTCGACTGCGATTCTCGATTTGATTTACCTTGAATCAACGTTGTTGAACTCAACATAACAGAAATCTGTTCTGGCAAGGGACACGCGATCAGCAGAAGATTCTCCGCGTTATAATACTTATTCAATGTTTGATGCAACTGCGTGAATGCGGCACAAATATTATTCTTCACTGGCTTAAAGAGAATGAATTCAGTTTCTTTGTTAGCCAAATATAATTGCATCGATTGCTGTACCTCAGGACATTTGAACTTGATTATCCTCAGTACATCGGCCACTATAGCTGCTATTTCTTGCGCGCTACCTAACGCGTTTTCTTGACTCGTGCTTGCATCAAGCAACCTTTCCTTCTCCAATAATTTGACAATAGGATAAATCAATAAATAAGTTGTGTGCTGTATTAATCGTTGGCACGTAAGTCTCAGCTTTGCGTCCACGTGCTTCCTCGAGTCGATAAGTTGCTCTTTCATCTGCGGTGCGCCTTCCAAAAGGAACTGCAATAGCGCGTTGTTCGACAAGGTGAAGAATCTGGAGCTCTTCTCGAGCAGCCCGAACGCAGCGGTCTTCACTTTGGAGAAGTCCAAGCTGTACTCTTTGATGGTAAAATCCACTTGAAAGGGGGCGATTTGTTCTCTAAGAATGAGCAAGTGCTTTATCTGAAACAACTCCGCGTCCAGTGTGCTCGCTCTCTTCTCAATTTCCTGCCTGGCATTCTCGATGCTCTGAACACAGAGGGAAATGGCCTCCTGGCTCAGCGACTGAAACACAGATCTGTCGACGCAACGGTAGAGCCTCGACAGGCACACCAGGGTTCTGCGAACTGTGGGATACCACATGGCATGCAGATCCGCCGGTGAATTCCCCATGTGTGTCTTCTGATAAATGGAATCGATGACTATGTGATTTCGCGAGACTGGTTCGAAAGCCGAGCTGTCGGTGGACGACACCGAGATCCTCTTCATACGAGTCTGGCGGGTCGCTTCCCTAATCGATTCCGCTATATCTTCCATCATCTTCAGTTTTTCCGGATACGCCAGGTCGCCTGACGACGGATTGTAATTCAGCACGTCGGATTGCAGATACAAATGCGCGCGAAACACCAATCTCTCTTGAACGTCGTGCAACAGCTGCAGACATATGTTGCCGAAGCCCTCCAGTGGTTCAAAGTTATTCTGCACATGCTCGTCCAGCATCTCAATTCGTAGAATGCAGCAAATCTCTGCCAGTGTCTCGAGATGATTTATGTGTATTATGAAAGGTCTCAGTGCGTCGTACAGAGAGGTGCACAAGCTCTCCAGGTATGCGGTCAGTCCGTTGGATTGCTTCGAGAAGAATTCGTAGAACAGTTTGTGCTCGTCTATCGACGCGTGCAAGAGCAATGCGCAGGAATGCCGCACTAAACTGCAATGGTCGCCGTTATACTTTTCCCTTATAGAATTCAGGGACTTCTGTATGCTCGTGCCTAGCACCAAGCCTCGCTGGCTCCAATAGTATTGGTGACACTCGTGCAACAGGCTGTCGTACTCCTGTCTCTTGTACGACTTGCTCTCGATCTGCCCGATGACCGGTCTCGTTTTCGACAAGATCGTCTGAAATCTGCCGTAGAACAGAGCGAGAGCCGTGTCCGCGTTCTCCGACGCTGAATTCTCACTGTCCCTCAGGTTCAAAATACTCTCGGTGGTTCTGGAGAACAGGTTGGAAATGTAATTCTGTATCAGCGCGATCGCCTTCGACTGGCAATGCTTGTATCTCACCAGGTAAATTCCGCTCTCATTGTACGACGAGTTGTTTTGCATAAAATCGATATTCGTGTCAATTTTGTCTAGCAAGTTGAAAAACATCTCGCTGTTCACCGACAGGGTGGACGCGTCCAGCTTCTCCGCGATTACGTCGATCTCCTTGAAGTACCTGACGTACTCCGTGATGCCGTCGATCGTCGCGTTCAACTGCTTCTGATCGAAAATCAGCTGTTCGCTGGCTTCGTACAGGGACGTGGTCTTGCTGGAGACTTCGGTGTACTGTTTGTAAAGCGCAGAAAAATCGTCCAACGTTTCCTCTATCTGAGAGCAAACATCGTGGCACTCGGACCTCCTCGACTTCAGCTCGTCGAGATACAGGCTGTACTTCATGTCGTACATGGATACGTATTTCCTTTCCAGAGACAAGAAATGCTCAAGCAACTCCGGATACTTTTCTACCGGCGGGACGTTCTCTCGAGAGATCTGCTCGCGTAGCTTCTCGTCGTTTACCTTGGACGACTGTAAGCTCGACAGCGGAAAGAACGAGGTCATCACGGTTTCGAGATCTGTCAAGCAATCCTTTTGACACTCCGTTAACGGGGCCAGGGAATTGTCACTCTGGTCCCACTGAATGAGGTTATGTGGAATTACCTTCGTATGGGACATCATTTCATTTGCAGCAGAGACTTTCAAATATCGACACGATCACACGTGCCTGCATTTACGCGTAACTCGACGGACGGTTGAAAGCAAAACTGAATTCAAGTGCGCATATTTACGAATTTGCAACAATTTAATTGCCGCGACTGACTGCGGCTCGCAATGTATAACCTCTCTGCTCGAGCGAGAAATGTGATGTGACGTGTAGACGTGTAGTCTCGACATTATCGACGTGGCACAACGCAATCGATCTTACCGATATCTCGATACTGCAGTTGATAAATCCATAACCTGATATCCCTTGTCGATCGACGTGATATTATATATTTTGTATGTGTGATAAGGATATTTTTTTATTATTCGCTGTGTCAACAATTTTTGGTTTCGTTCCATAATAAGATTTAGAAAGTTAAAAAATTTATAACTAAAAAGCAGGGTTGTGCCGTAGATTTCAAGATTACGTCTACACGGATTATTTACGTGAAATCTACGTGATGTTTACATGGTCTTTTTGTTGCGTAGACAATTTAGACTTGTAAACCATGTAGATCGGAAGAGCACACGTC